TGATTACTGATGAGCTGATCCTTTGGTTGTTGGTGGCTTGATCTAAAAGTTGATCAGATGGTCCTGAGGGACCAATCTATGTTGCAGTGTAGTGAGATGTATTATTAACTTGTTATACCAGGTTACAGGACATAACAGGATCAAAGAGCAAATTGTTTTGAGAGGTGAAATGGATTTAGGTTTTAATCCAATTTGGTAAACCCTATTGATCCTATTAGATCAAGGGTCCAACTCTAAATACTATTAGGTCTAACAGTTAGGATATTTTTGGTATTTTTTAAATTGTTTTAAAAAAAATCAATTTTATAATCTCGTGAAAAAAACTGAAAAAAATTCAATCTAATAATATTAGTATCTATTTTTTCTTTTTTTTCCTCTCTTTCCTCTTTTTTTTTTATGTTTTCTCAAATTTTAATTGAATTTTATAGGCAATGCTGAGGATACACAAGAATTTATAATTAGGAAACATGGATCTGTATTGAAGAAAAATTTTCACCGCCCCAACTGCACTAACTACAACTATAAAAACTTATGCATTATTGATTTTGTTTTATTATATATAATAATAAATATTTATATGGATAAAACCAAAAAACTCAAAATAGTGTTAAAAAAATCTCGTTTTAATGGCTAAAAATCAATTTTGATTACTAAAAAATCAACTCCAAACATCAAAAAATATTTGTTGACCAGTATCAACTCAGTTGACCGGGTTTTGACCAAAAATAGTAGTTTTGACTTGAAATGGCCAGAAAGCGCAATTTTGACCCCAATTAACATGGTTTGACTCGTATTGACTTGGTGGATTCGACTTTAACATGAAATAGTCTAAATTTTATTTTTTATTTTTACCTCTGTTAGCATGGTTTAACTTGTATTAAACCGATAGACTTAGTTTTTACCAAAAATAGAGTGAAAATTATTGTTAACCCTGTCGACATAATTTGACTCGTATTAACTCGGTTTTGACAGAAAGTGATGATTTTCACCTGAAATAAACTGAAACCTTTTTTACCCTTAGTTGACATGGTTTGATTAGTAATGACTCGATGGGCTCGGTTTTCATGGAAAAGGCAGTTGACCTAAGAAAAATGTATTTTTGAATTTTCAACTTTTTCTTTATTGTTTGGATATAAATAAATAATACTTAAGAAAATTTTAGAGAATCCAAAAATTTGGTTATTACATTATACATGAACCTATTTCTTTTTCTTATGCTAATAGGTACGAGGCTTTACATAATTTTATAAAGGCTGGACTTCTAGCTTTAAGTCCCAATGACACTTGGTCTTCGATTCCCTTTCATCTTGAGATGAATATTGTTAGTGGTTATTGAGTGTACAAGATAAAATGTCATGTAGATGCTAGCGTTGAAGGCTAAAAGGCTCGGTTGATTGCTAGAGGTTGTACTCAACATGAAAATATTGACTATTCTGAAACTTTTAGTCTTATCATCATATGATGTAACCCAAATTTGAACCCTTTTTGTTTTTTTTATCATTTAATGATAAAAGTGTTAAAATCTAAAATTAAAAGACCAGGGGTTTAAATGCAAAGATTCAAAAACTTCAAGGACCAGATTGGAAATAGCCATTTCCAACCCCAAAACGACACTATTTCAACCACGCACAGTTCTTCGTCTTCATCTTCAAGCACTGAAAGCCCATCTGCAAATATGGAAAGGAACGTATGAAACCCTAGTATCCTAGTCTCATCCAAACATAGAAGAGCAATCCTATTCTTCATGATAATCATAATCCGACGAGATAAGGACTAGACTTTGTGTTCGAGTCCCAACAGAGACTAACTCCCTCAAATCATGCTTATCCCTCAAACCATGTTTATTAGGAGGAGAGACATCAGGTTGAGGGAAAGGAAGGTTGGTCCCTATAAATACCCCAGCAATCAACAAAAGAAGGGGAAGAAAAACTAAGAAGAAAAACAGATAACAAAAAGGAGAGAAAAGGAATAAAAAGCAGAGGAAGAGAGCAAAGAGTAAGGAAAAATGACAACAACAACAAAAACGCACAAAGAACAAAGGGAGGAAAGGTCAAAAGAAAGAGGAAGAAGAGAGAATTCTTCGACCAATACTCGGATTGTTACCTTCATCTTTATCATCATCTTCATCTTTGCCAAGTAAAGTTCTCTTCTCCTTGTTTCTATATAAATATTACAAAGAAAAAAACAGTGCAAAGGTAATTTAATTACCTTCGCATTGTGTAGTGCACGAGTGAGTTGATTCACACATGCTTGTTACCCAGCCGGGTCACCAACTTGGGCCAATGACTAGGCTGGGCCAGCTAGGTCTAGCCCAGCCCATATTGGTGGGGCGAGCCCCAGCCATAAAAAAAAATAAAAAAAACTTGGTCGGGTCTGGACTTTAAACCCAGCCGACCCAAATTATATAGCCCCAGCCATAAAAAAAAAAAAAACTTGGTCGGGTTTAGACTTTAAACCCAACCGACCCAAATTATATTTACTAAGCGTGTGTTTGGCAAAACACACTTTTATACCTTGGCCATAATTTTTATGTACATTTTAGTTTGATATTTGACTGAACAAGCCTGTTTTCAATATCAAAAAATTTTAAAAATATTTGGGGATCTTTATTAGTTTGATATTTGACTAAACAAGCCTCTTTTCAATATCATAAAATTTCAAAAATATATGAGGATCTTTGTTAATTTATTTGTGGGCCCCTCCCACTTTAATTTATTTTTTTCTTTGTGTTTTTTATTTTTTGTATTTTTTAAAGTTATGTGCTCAATCTTGGGCCTATTATTGTTAAATGCAAGTATGTCATGCAATGTTTTTTTTTTCCATCTAAAAAGAGCAAATAATAATAAAGGATAAATAAGAAAAAAATAACATAGAAAATTTCTTATTCAAATTTATTTTTTGTGAAAATAGTCATTGACGCTAAATTTAAAAGTATCGTATTTTTTTATTTGTGCAATATTTATCAATGTTAGAATTGAAAATATTCATAAGAAATGTTCACTAACACCAAAATCAAGAACATGAAAGGAAGAATAAAAAAAGCAAAAAAGGGGAACAAATTCTTAGAAATTTTTGGCAAAACTAACGATGTAGTCTATTTAAGTAAGATGCTTAGGAGGTGATAACATCTTTCCTTTAACGTAATCAGTCTCGTACTATAGAATCTATGTTAACTAGTTGTGACCATAATATTAGGTGACGACTCCTTGAACAAGATATTTTTTTCTAAAAGAATAAAATGCCAAATATCTATTTTTTTTGTATCAAGAAAAATTTTAATCAGTCACAGCGATGTCCGAGTGTGACATGGTAAAATATATTACTGTTTAGTTGGTTTTTAATGAGACATTTCACAAAGAGGTATACATATAGCAACCTCTAGTTTTTGTTGATTTTACTCTTTTTTTCTCATATGTCAGCTATATAAATCATTATATGGGTTAAAACAAGCTCTTAGAATACGATACACTAAACTAAGTGATTATCTTTTTATCTATTAGATTTCATGCTTTAAAGATTGATATCTCTTTATTCATTTTGTCTATAGGTATTGTTATATTATATCTCCTTATTTACATTGATGATAGTTTACTTGCTCCAATTCAATCTTACTCCACCTTTTGTTCCAATTGCTTAACTTAGAATTCAAGCTTTGAGATTTAAGAGTTGCCCATTATTTTTGTATGTCTTCCTGCAAACTAGTTGATACTCCTATTTTTGCCCCCAAACTTGCTATAATGTCCGATTGCATGTTTTCTAATCTTACATAGTTTCGTTGAATTATTGGTGCTCTTTAAAAATTCATTTACTAGGCTAGATATATTTTTGTTATGAACAAAATATGTTAGTTTATGCATGTTCTTACAAATACATATTGGGCTGCCGTTAAACACATTATGCATTATCTGAAAGGTATAATTTCTTTTGGCTTAAATATCACTTATTGTTTTTTTATTTACTTTACATTGTTTACAAATATTGTTTGGGCTAGTAGTGTTGATGATTGTAAGTCAACAGGTGATTATCTTGTTTATTTTAGTTATACACCAATTTCTTGGAAATCAAGCAAACAATGTATAGTTGCTTGATTTTCGACTGAAGCTGAGTATAAAGTTTTAGCTAACAAGGCTTCTAAGGTCCTATGACTTTAATATTTATTGATAAATTTGCAGATTACTCCTATTTATGTACCTATGCCTTGGTATGATAATTTAAGTGTCATTTATTTGTCCATCAATCCTATTTTGCATACTTGTACTAAACATATGGAAGTTGATTATCATTTTGTATATAATAAAGTTACCAAGAAAGATATTCAGATTCACTTTATTTTCTCTAATGATCAACTTATAAATGTTTTTACCGAGTCACTTTCATTATAATGATTTTTTATTCAAGTTTCGGGTTCAACCCTTACACTAAACTTGACGGGGTGGGTTGTATTATAAAAAGTGCTATTTTATAAGGTATAAATTACAATAATTCTATTTATCATGTGTGTAGGTTAATTGTGTGGTAATCTTTATACTAACTATTATACACTACCCTGCATACATAAATTAGTTAAGCCTTCTATTTTCTCAACTCTCATGGTCAAACAGTTGAATAATAGATACTTGTTTCTGCAGTAACCCGAATATGGGTGTTGCTCCTTGTGAGCTAAGATTGATGAAATAATGGAGAACCTTATCATGTGATCACATGTTATCATTGAGTAAATACGAGTCACACTTGGAAATCTCGAGTTCTATGGAAATTTAACCAAATCATTGTCAATTGCAATACGAATTAATCTCCATTTGAATTTTATTTATTTTTCAGCTTACTTTGCTCAGAAAGAACGTATTGTAGTGGTGATGATAAACCTACTGCACATGGTCGAACGCAGCTCGCAGGCGTCAAAATTAAGCTTCATGTCCTTACGGGACTGGGAAAAGAGAAGAAAAAGCAATGAAGTAGCAGAAGCTGGGACAACCAATCTAGATATACTGAAACTGAACTAAAGAAGAAATATTAGCCCAGTGAAAAAACTCCAAACATTGTGTGATTTACACATAAGCTTATTGGTATTGTGTGCTTAATATACGTACTGAGGACTTGTGCTAGAAATCTATAGCCTATACAAACATATACGCGCCTAGTTGCCCTTTTGTGCCATCTAATGCACAAAGATGAATCACTTAATATATCTCATGCAGTCACTGAATATTACTGTGATTGGAGATGATATCTACTATTCACTTTTGCGATAGAGTAACGGTAAGCACGAAGCAACCTCCTCTGAAATCTTCCAAGATTGAGCCTCACATTTTGGTTATCAAGATAGATCGACTTTGTGTATTGCCATCCCTTGTCAGACACGCTTCTGGGATCTCGAAGAACAGGATCATTCTTATCGTATTTGTCATACAATGAACTCTCTCTTGGAAGAATTTGGTAGCCAATATACTTTAAACCAAGCTTCCTTGCAGGCTCACCATAATAAGCATCGGCTGCCCATTCTGTTCCTAGAGGAATAACTTGGATAAAAACCGAACCGGGCTTCATAAACAGAAAATGAGTCATGGCAGCACCATGGACACCAATCATAACTTCACTTGAATTAAGTGCGCGATATATCCTGGCCAGTTCTGTCGTTGGTTGAGGTCTCATCACTTCAACTCGAAATCCGATTCCTTCAGCCATCTTCACCAATAAATTCTCATTAGTTATAGCTCTAGACCCATGTCGAGATAAAATTACCAGTTTAGGTTTCTTCAAGGTGGCTTCATGCACTTGCTTTAGGTCTTTTTTTGATGATTGAGCTTTCAGTTCAAGTTTCTTTCGAGCTCTTCGTTCTTCTTCTTTAATCATACTTTTAATTCGAGGCCAGTAAGCTCGGTCTAGAAAATTGCGAAAATCAACAATGCTTTTATTCTCCTGCATCAATGAAGGATCCACTGTGAGCTCATCATGGATTCTAAGACCAGCGATAGCTTCAGGAAAGCAATGGGTTTTCTTGTCTCCGCTAAAGTCAATGGCAGGATAATCCGAAAGAAGTGATAGTATGTTTCCATACTTCATGATCCACCAATTATGATAATCGAGAATAACAAACACAACCTTCTTCTTGAAATGCTGTGATGTAATGTACAAAGGCAAAATCCCATCATTGAATTCATGATAAAGATTACCGGTGTAGCCTCCAGTCGAAAAGAACACTGCTGGCACATCATGCATGACATCGCAATGATGGTTAATTCTAGAATTCTCTGTCTTTGCAATAAGGCCTAATTCACCAATTGAGTCCATCACACTCGTTTCCCATTTTCGGGTGTATGGTTTGATCTTTTCATGATGGAGTTCCTCATCTTTATCAACTGAACTCGAAACCTTGTTCATCACGGAATTGGTATTTCTTGAGGTGAAGAGGAAGATCGAAGAAGAGGCAGAATGTGTTCTTACATCCCCTTTCATAACACAGACATCAGAACGCGTACTGCTTCGGTCACAACATATGGTTCCTGAATTTACAACAAAAAAATGTGTAAAAAATTTGGGGAAATCAACAGTAAAACATCAATTCATATTACTATACGAGCCTCACATTTGAGCAAACTTCACAAAATAAAAACAAAGTAAGAAAGAGACTTTAACCCAGTAACTCTGTGTCTACTTTTTTTGTTACAGAAACTAGATCGTTCACTCACCTTGATTGAGTAACCACTTAAAACTCCAAAAGAAGAAAAAAGAAAAAATCAGTTCCATCATTAATTCTCCCTAACTTTCTTGGTTACGTAATTACGTAGCCCAAGGAAATTCTAAATATCAGAAAGCAACAAACTTCAAGGCTGTTAATGCCTAATACTGTTTGATTCAATCAAACTTTTAAAGAAAGAAATAGAAGAAGAAAGGAAAAAAGAATTGAACACCGCAAAAAAAAATGATGAGTACTAACCATTAGAAATCAAAGAGCTCAAATAAGCTTTTGCATTTACATTAGTGGCAACCCCATCACTTTCTACATCAAAAGAATCTGCAAAAACCAGACAAACATCAGCAAATGCAAAGAGGAAGAAAAGAAGAAAAAAAATAAAGGAAGCAGATAAAAAATAGCCAAAACCCATGAGAGAGAGGAGCTTACACGAAAGAGAGGAAGTAGAGGAAGAACAAAACAATGGAGGAGATAAAATAAGACAGCAAGAGAGAAGAGAAAGAATGACAAGAGAGAAAAGCTTGGGCCTTGTCCTATTGAAATAACCCGAGCTTGCTGCACTCATCAAAGATGACAACAGCACCTCCTCTTCTTCAACATGATGACGATCACCTTTTTTTAACTGATGATATCTATAGGAGTGCACCATTGCCAACTATTCTCAAATGTAAAGCTTCTATCTTTTTTGGCTTTATAAAAAACTCAACGACTAAAACAAGAGAAAGAAAGAATTTTTTTGAGTGAACAAAGTTTCTGAGCAAACCCCAGTACTTTGTTTTTTCACAAAGGTTCTTCCTTTTATGGGTTGTAAAAGTGTTGAACTAAAACCCAGTTTTGAACGGAGAAAAGAGAGCAGTTCATGTATTTGTTGAGAGAGAGAGAAAACACAAGTTGGTTTCTACGTTGTCGTAATGGTTATGCTGTGAAGGTGTTTCTGGGGGTGTTTACGTTGCTAAATTTGAAAGACAGAGAGGTTTTTGTCTAGTTATATGCTAAAGGATGTTTCTAGGGACGTGTTATATGCATTTATATTAATTGGCATGCCAGGGAATACAGAGAATGATTGCGTGTGTGTGTGTGTGTGTGAGAGAGAGAGAGAGAGAGAGAGAAGTGGCATGCCAAGGAATGATTGTGTGCGTGAGAGAGAGAGAGAGAGAGAGAGGAGAGAGAGAGAATGAAGGAGGAAGCGAAGGAGGAGCCAATGAGGAACGACGGTGTCTAAAAAGGAGGCTATTATATTGAACTTTGGAAAAAAAATTGAAGAACTGCATATGGTATTTTGTTTTCGGCAGTCAAATTCCGTGTGAAGAGCAAATCAAAGAGCCGTCCTTTCTCTTTTCAGTAGTGATCCATCGACAAAGTGTCATCATACAACATTTATAGTGTGGTTGTGAACCCCAAATTTGATGAAGTTTTATCATTCAAGTATGTGGTTGGTTTATCCTTCTAAATATATATGTCGTTGTTAATGCACCGAGTTTTTTAATTAAAAATATATTAAATTATTTTTACGTTTTTTTATTTTTATTATAGTACATAAAAAATACTGATTAACATATAGAAATTATTACTTTAATATTTTTGCAAATAACAATTAATTTGAAAGGCAAGTTGAAGCCGAAAAAAAATCATCAAGACACAAAATATGCATTTTATATCAGAGATCATTAGTTTAAAATGTAAACATATATTCAATACATGTGGAACAAAAAATGAATTTAATTGATCCTTCCAATAACAAATCAATCACTACCATAAAATCAGCAAATACAAATAAAAATACTAATAGAATTGTTTCGTTTATAAAATGTGATAAATTTTTCTAGCTAAATATGCTCTCATAACATTCATCAATAAATAGAAATGAAAATATTTTCTTGAAATATACTAAGAGAATTACAATAAAAAATCAAAAAATACAATAATATGTCATTTTTATAAACAAAATAACTAATAGATTTATTTCAATATGTCAGTAAATTCATTTGTAATATTTAATTTATAACTTACCGATCAATCCTCTTTTCTACATTTCTCATTTCTTTTTTTTCCTTTATTTTTCTGCACACCCCTCGAGTAATAATAAAGATTAGATCATATATATATATATGGATTTTTCTGCACACCCCTCGAGTAATAATGAAGATTAGATCATATATATATATATATATAGTACATGTGCTCTCTTTTATTCACCTTATGATCCCAACAAAGACCCACTTTTTTTTTCTTTTTCAACACCTCTATTATAAATTAGTTATATTTAAATTTACAAATGTTTATATTTATAATAAATATTTGATTTTTATACTAATTTAATTTAATTATTTTTTATTTTTATTTAATAGATTTAAAAAATTAAATTATTATTAATAGGGTTATTGGCTGACTAAGTCAATACATTTTAGAAAGTTTAAAAATAATTATTGCAAATATCATTGTCATTATTTACTCATTAACAGAATTATAGACGGTATGTGATTATATGTAAAATTTATCAAGTATTAGCGGATAAAAAAATATCACCATTGAAATTATATACAATTTTTTTTGTTGATGATATATTCATCAATAAAAATGCTAATGAAATAAAACAAGTAAAAAAAAATTACACACTTTTGCTATTAGTAAATCTATTAGTAAAATTATTACTAATAAATTTACTGACAGATTACGAATTACTTACAGGAGCTTTACAGGAGCTTTTCCAATGAAGTATTGTCATCCCGTCCGTTTGCTGATAAATTATGAGTATAAATATTAACGGAAAATTCTATAAATAAATCTAAAAAATTCTTACAGTGAACAATATCACTCTTAGCATTTTTATTAACTTTTTTTTTGTTAATTAATCATTAAAAAAAATGGACAGTTAGGTTGACGCTGGTATGTATTTTTGATGTTAGACTTCAATTTATATTAATATCTTACGTCAAAGTGTTCCATTAATTATAGATCATCAGATTTCTGGAAGGAAAAAAAGAAGTTGATGTCAAGAAGCATGTTGTCAGCCAACCTTTTCCCTTTGTTTCTCTGGTTGGCTTTGCGCATCTCTTTTAAGTGGAATTGGATTCCATTCTTTAGCTGGTATTTGGAATAGTACGAGCGGTAGTTTTTATTTTCATTTAGAATACATAAAAAATAATATATTTTATATTTTTAAAAAATAAAAAAATCAATTTTAATATCAGTATATTAAAACTAAATGATTAAAAAATACAAAAAAAAATCAATTGTTGTTTCAAACACTTTTTTCCTTGTTTGTTTTTACACTATAAACTTTGTTTTTAAAACATTTAATTTTTTAAATAAAAAAACTTCAGAGGCTAGTTGGAAACTGATCCCTGTAATCTTAACAATTTCTTAAGATGGTCCTTTCATCCAATTCACTACTTGCTAGTCCTAGAAAGCATGTCAGAAAGAGTGGACAAGTGTCTAGTACACGTCAGATCAAGTATCAAGAATTAATAGTAAATTGAACCATATTACGTAAATATTAAGAGTAAAGGGATCAAAAATAAGATTAATCCATTCTGCTTGTATTTCTTTCCAGATACGTCCCAAGCGGCCTCTAAAGCTAGTCTTGGGTAAATATTTTTTCAAAAATTATTTGTAATTCAAAATAATGGAAATTATATTTCTTAGAATTTCTTATTTTTAATATATGCATGTTAAAATAATCAAGAAATATAAGGAAAAAAATAATGATTTGATATTTTGTCAAATAAAAATTAAAAATCACTTTGAAATTAATGCATTATCAAGCTACCATTAGTCATAATTGGCAATGGACACAAATATTATGGGTTGTGAAAGGTGATTGAATATTATTAAACGAAAATCATTAACAAAGTAAATTAATCATTAAACGAAGACACAGAAAACTTGGTACTTAAAACGTCAATTCAATCAAAACATAACCCAAAATAGACAGCCAAAGAGAACTTCGCTGTTGGCAGCTCATCCATGAAAATAACATGCACTACCTTTGCCTAATCCTTAAAAAATAATACAGCTAATCAAGCACCGTCAAGAAAAATTCAACGGACGAGATTATATTTCTGAGGCTTAATTAAATACACTCCTAGAACAGGATCTGATTTCATTTATTAACCATTGAACTTTCATTTTTATTCATGTTTAATTTTTATTTTTTAAAAGTTCTTGTGTTTAGTTGAAAATGAGATAAAAATCTATAATTAATAAATTAACTAATTAACTTCCTTAATAAAACAAAATTATATGATGGAAGTATCCTTGATAAAAAAAAAAAAAAACAAGTCTCCTATTGAATAAAAAATTATTTTTCCTTATAAAACACAAAAAAAACCTCATGTTTTGAGAATCATTGTATATTAGCTTTGATTTACCATGGATTATAATAGCAAACTGATAAAATTGCTCTTAAAAAAACGACACAATATTATCTTTCAAAAGTAAAATTATTTTTTTATGTTAATTTTTTATTTTAAAATTATTTAGAATATCTCAGTCTTTCCATAATTTTCTACATGTTGAAATTACATTATTAATCTTAAAAGCCAAAAAAAAAAAACACTTTCATTCAGGGGATTTTTTGATATATCATAATTTTTTAAACAGTTAAATTACATAATCACCTTTAAAAGCCAAAAAAAAAAAAACTACCGTATGGGGGCTTTTTCATAATTTCCTATTGACATGAACAATATAACTATTACCCTTATAATAAAAAAGTCTTAAGCTGGGCTTTAGAGGCATGTTGGTAATTTTCACCTTCTTCTTTTTTTTTTTTTTGTAATTATCGCGTGGCGAAGAGGTGATTTGGTAGCTTGATTAATAAACTAATAATAAAATAGGAAAAGTTGTTGGTATATTTGTGGAACGCACTAGCGAGTAAGTCATTCTGCCTTCTTTGAATGGCATATGTTTTGGCTAATGATAGTTAAAAATTGGCTTTCTTAGTGTTTTTCAATTCACAACGATAAGGGATGCCTTTCTAGGAATCCCGTGTGACTTAATTCTCGGTAGTTTAGTAGCGATTGATGTAATTTTCAGCTTTAATATTTAGAGAACAATATTGTATTTTTTTTCTTTGCTATTTATTTATAAATAAACCAACTAGAAAGCCACATATTTAATGTTAAAAAATTTAATTTTTAGAAGAAAAATAATGATAAAAAACAATGTGTTTTTTTTACATGAAAAAAGATCAAAATTCAACTCATAAATTAGCTATAGATGCTAGGATAATTTGAAAAATTAGTCATATCAGATTGAGAAAGTGATTGAAAGGAAAATTTTTAAAAAATTATAAATAATTAATTATGCATTAAAGTCTCAATAGATATAATTTGTTGGTTCATATTTTAAATATGTGTTTTTAGAGGATATGATGAGTGACAAAAACATAGTAATTTTGTTGAAGTTGTGAAACTTTTAACATCATATAATGAATAAGTAGTTATTCTTAATTTGAATAATGCTCCATAAAATGTTAAATAAACATCACATCAAATTCAAAAAGAAGCTTTGTATGTCTTTGCTAAAAATAGTTATTATTCAATTATTATGAGATTGTTGAAGTGAGTTTTTTGTTTTAATTATTGATGAAGTTGAATTCAAAAAAAAGCAAATAATCTTTATTATTAGGTTTGTTGATAGAAATGAATTTATCCGACAATGTTTTTTGAATATAGTACATGTCAAATATATTGCTTTAACTCTTAAAAAAAAATTATTTGTTTTATCTCATCACAATATTAATATTTAAAATATTAGAGTCATAAGGTAGAAATATATGTGGAGAGTGAAATTATTTGCAAGTTTTATTCATTAAAGATTGTTCTTATATATATATTATGTATATTACTTAGCCTATCAATCAAAATTGGCTCTTATTGTGTAGCTAAATAAGCATACGATGTTCACACTTTTTTTTAATTTAATTTTTATTTTTAAAATTGTTAATTCTTCTTGCAAATGCAATGATGAATTGTAGACTTTTCAAATAGTTAAAATTAAACATCTAATTGTTGTTGGTGAGATTAAAATGGA